CTTTTAAATCCCTGGAGTGTTATAGAACATAATTACCACTACAGCGTTAAGATAGATGTAAAGTGGTTAGAACTGTGCTTAGACATTCACTTTGAAAGTAAAGCCTGCCTTATTTTTAAATCAGTTTGCTTCTTGTGAGTTATCAGTGTGGAAGAATTAGTAAGGAAACATGAAAGTGGAGAGAGAGGCTAAAGTCTTGTGTACAAACTCTGAAAGAGTTATTTCAGGAGAGGCATGCCAAAGAAGACAAGACGTTTATAAATGGTAGAGTGTAACAAGCAATGTGAAAGGCTGTTTACTTAAGTTCCTCTATTTTTGTTTTGCTAAGGAGATGAAATAATGAAGATAAAAAGGTATGTTCTCAGGATGTGATGTTCCTACTTCTGTACTATGTCTATCCTCAGATTTTGAGTATTTCAAAACAGAGTTAAGACTGATACTTGCTAGAGGTAACGAGAGTAGCGCTTTTAGATTTTTCTGATATGGTACTGAATTGGCTCTCTGGAATTTTCCTGCACTCCTGATAAACTGTTGTTGGAGTTGCAGAAAATACAAAAGTAGATACTTCAATAGATGCATGTAAATACTTAAAATGATTGGCAAAGTTACAAGATACTCAAAAGACTAGAAGCTTGAAATTGGTTTAATGGAGACACCAGAAGGAAAGATTACATCATCAAAATTCCGTATTTTTGTATGGACTTGAAGGCTATTGAGAGAAGAGGTGTGATTAAAGAAGCAAGTGTCTGAGAAAGCTGCAGTTAGTCATAAAAAGAAAAAAGATCTTGAAGATGTGAAAAAAGATTCAGCAGAATTTGGAAATGACCGGCACGTGTATGATACAACTGAATAAGTTACCAAGTTGAATATTTGGGAGAGTGCTTGTGATAGACTGGGCTCACAAGATGGGAAGGAAGATGGCTTGTGCTTTGTCCATAGTTAAGGCTAATAGTATGGACAATTAAGGAAATCAGCAGACGAGAGTGAATGACTAAATTTGAGGTTTGACCTCTCTGTTTTATAGTTTAAGCAATAGTCCTTCAGTTCTTCTAAACAGAAGATGAGTGAAATGAGAAGCTCCTAGAGTGTATATTCTGCAAAAAGATTTTGGAGGCCTCATGAGCAATTGAAGAATAAATAGAATAAACACACCCTTTTTATTTCATCTGTCACTTCCGAATCTGTCTTCTGAAATCTCTAGGAGCAAAGAGAGTGAAAAGTGTCAAGGAGCAGAAGAAACCATAGTACTTCAAGGGAAGTTACTGATAATGTTGAGTTGAAGTAGTTGGACTATCCCTATACTGATGTCTGTTAGTGGGTATAGTGGCTTGAATGTAGGAGTGAGGACTAAAACCTAGCAAAGAGAAATAAATTTCACGTGTCTGGCTCGTAGTGGAGTATGAAGTCCTGACTTAGTAGTTGTCTTAGCTTCATATAACGTTTGAGGAGTGATAGATGTTTTAGAATGGGTTTCACAAAGACGAGAATTCAGTGGTAGTCCTCAAATCAACTTATACTACCTATGTGTGCACTGCCTGTGTGGCTCTACAGCGTCACAAATGTGACGTATGAGTATTTGCAAGGGAAATATTAAAAGAGACTTTTTTCTATAAAATCAAAGGCATCTAATATTAGTGTTTATATTATATATGAATGATGAAATTGAGACTGAAACTCTCAATGCAACCACTCTTGTAGCTGCCAAATATAAATAACAGTGACTGTATACTATTTATGCTTCAGTACTCCAGCAGACTGCCTAGCCTGTGTTTCAGTGTATTGTAAGTTAATGGAAAATCTGAAGAGAGTGAAAAGAAAACAAAGCTCGCCAAAATATAATAATATTTGTTCAAAAAGATGTACTAAAGAATTTCTTTAGATATTGAAGCCAGTATACATACTGCTTGCAGTTCACAGAATTTTGTGCCTGTTGCCAAAACTGTCAGGATGGAAGAAGCTGTGGATTTTTTATTATCTTGGACAATGTTTACAGGATGACAAAAACCTGTGTTCTTCGTTCTAAGCAGGTGTTAACCACCAAGTTATTCTGTAGCCTACATGAATGTGTACGTTAGATCCCAGTGGAGCAACAACTTCTTCTTGAATATGCAGAATAAATTTGTTAGAATGATTTAGAAGAACTCAGTTGAAAGCCAAAACTGCTCCATTGCATAAACTCATTCATCAGATTTGAGGTCTCCTTGTCCTCCAGCTTTCCAAGTGGTGGAATCTCAAGTATAAATCATTTGACAGAAAACAACAGTGATTATGAAACAGGAGGTTCTCTTGTTTGCTGCTGGAGTTTAAAGTGACTTCTCATTTGTGTGACTTCCTGTGGTCAGATGAAAACATAAAATTTCTATTTTCAGTTTCATTTTAATTCTGAACATTTTGAAAGTAACTGTAATGATTCTGAATAAAAGACTGAATTGGTTTCTGTTTTGAATTTACAGCCCATGCTTTCATACAGTTAAAGTTGGTGTTTTGATAACAATGCCTTTGTAAATGTTAAAGTTTTCAGTTTGGAACTTTGTTCATACGTTATTTCTAAGTAATTTTTCAGTGATAGTGGAATAAACTTGTTGAGAGATTTTTATACTAGCTGGGATTTTGTAAGTTATGAACTGTGGTTTCCCCCCAGATTATAACGGTGATTTAAATACTCCTTTAACAGTTCTAGAAATGAAGTGTAATGTCTTGATAGAGTTTTTGGTTAAATAAGAGAAAACTTTGTCCATTCTCATATTAAGTTGGAGTGTGGTGAAATTTATCTGGGTTTGTATTATCTAATCTCTTTTAAATTACTTTGTTTATAACTACTAGAGGCATTTTGCAATCAAAAGTAATATCTCAAGATGTGCAATACGTGTGTAATTGGTAGAAACCGTGTTTATAAATCTGCTTATGACATTCCCTGGTAATGCAGAGGAATTATTCATTAATTTATAATAAAGTAGTAGGAAAATCTGTGGACTAGTGGAAAATGTATGGTAAGTTGACAGTATTGGTGAGAACTTTTTTTTAAGATAATTAAGTGAACCTTCCCTAAAGAAAAAGAAATTGTACTGTGTAATTATTTTGGAAGTTAAGTCCATAGCTTTCCTGTAAAAATAACATTTTCTCAAGTCTCATTGATCCTTTGAACTCCTCAGCAAGGACAGAAAGCTGAGGAATGAGAGGTCCCTAGCCTATATTTGACTGGAGAATAAAGTCTATATAGTAATCTTGGTTTTAGACTTAACCTTCAGATTTTTAATTTATTAAAAGGTTCATTAGATCCAGCCATGTTTGCTCACAAAGCTTGTAACATTATAAGTTTTTATTTTCACTAGTTTTTAATTATGTTTTCATCATTTTTGTAGCCTTTTGATCGTGTGTGGATTTTTTTTGTCTTGCGTTAGTATCTATTCTTTATTTCTTCCTTACATTGTAAATTATTTGGTTATTGCAGCAAACTTGGAAGACTGTGGCAAATTTGGCCTTTTAGCTACTTTAACATTCATCTTTGCATCTCAAAAATCATATTATATGATGCTCCTATGTAATGATGGAAGTCCTTGGTGATTCTAGTGATGGATCTGGGGTGATGGGAGTGAAAATTTTCCTTGCAGGAAAATCATATGCATCTGTGCTTTGTTCTTGAAGTTCCGTCAACACGTTTAGTAGCAAGCGTAATTTTGTCTTTCTAATCTGGGGCAACCACAGACCCTTCCTTGAGAACTGTTATTTCAATTAGTTCAGTAATTCCAGTCATCTTTTCAACTCAAGGTGTACAGAGATAAAGCACTGATATGCTGATTGCAATTTCAGTGTCATGACCCATCAGACCGATGTAATGGAAAGAGATGGAATGAAACAGAATTGTATAGTTCGTACTTGTCCCTACTTCTTTACAGGTGGTATAACTTTGGAAAAATAGTAATCTTGATTGGGATTAGACTACTGTCATTCCTATCTGACTTTTTGGGGACTAGTGGACACAAGCTGATCAGTTTATCATACACACTTTCACATGAATATTGCTGTGTAAGACCTTGCTGTGTAAGGTCTAGTCATCTATTTCAATGCAGTATCAAGTCTTGGCTGACAAATCTCAGCATGTGTAGTAGCTGTATGTAGAACTGGTTTGGTTTCCCTTAGTCTTAGTCCACGTGAAAGAATCCAGATCCGGTGCTGATGGTGACTATTTGTAGCTAATAAAACCCTTCTGGATCTGAACTGGCTCTTACTACTCATATTTTTCAGCGCTGTGTTTCTAGTTGCAGTGGACTTAATATTATTGGGGTGTATGTGTAAATATTTGTGTGTGTGTATATGTGTGTATATACATATATATACATGTATGCATGCATTATAAACTGTTTTTAGGTACTACATATATGCTTACACACACTGACTTAGATCTCTGATATCATTCTTGTGCTTTTTTCATCATCAGAGTACAGTCAGTCAATAAAACAATATTTACGGTTTTGTTGTCAGTCTGTGCAGTCAATAACTGCTCCCTTGAGCTATCAGATTCCTCATTGTCGAGGAATGCACCATTTCATTTCCAGATGCTATAGTTGATTTCATAGCAAATATTACTATATATGTGCATTTTTGTGTTTTTTAATGTTAGATACAGATTTTTATGTTTTGTTATTTTTCTAGCAACTTTACTGTACTTATATAAAATTACAGTTAATTATTTTACCTTTTAAACCACACAAACAACTTTTTTGAGTGTTCACAGGTGTTGCAGGTGATAATTTTTACTTGAATAGTGGACTTCCATAAACAGGATGAGTAGGCAGCAAGATTCCAGACATGGAGAAGACACTTATGATGGTCCTGCAATGTAATAAACAGAGTATGTTTTTTGTTTCAAGTTGCCATAATGCTCATGAAGGGAAGAAAACAGCATTAAGATTTGGGAAAGATTAGAGAGAAATAACTGTCATACAAGATTATAAACTGTGCTTTGTTGAATATCTAACATACATTTTTTCCCCCCACAGAAATTAGCAGAGTACGGAAAGACATGTATAATGACACATTAAATGGTAGTACGGAGAAGAGAAGTGCAGAATTACCAGATGCTGTGGGACCTATTGTACAGTTACAAGAGAAACTATATGTGCCTGTAAAAGAATATCCAGATGTAAGTATCTCTTTCATTTCCTTAATGTGTAATTTTTTTTTTTTAATCCTGTGGTCCTCTGAATGTAAATTTCATGTGATGCTACCCTTGGATCACACTGAATTGCTTTTAACAAGGTAAGACATTTCTTTAGGAAGCAGTGTATGTACATGGTGGCTTAATATGTAGTAAAGCAAAAGGTGAGTGGGAGAAGGTCATGTTAAATAACAAACCAGTATGGATTATAATTCAGAAGCTCTAAGATCAGAATTTCTGCTTAAAATATGTTTATCTTGTTCATTCAGTACTGTCAGTGTTGAGTCACTGTGGAGTGCATTTTATGGAGGAAGTAGTTGGTAGGACAATGTACTTTCCTCTTAAAAAATATATCTCTAAGGTTCAGTAGTAGCACGCTTTTAGACCCTTTAGTCTGTACTTAAAATCTTTAGTGTTGTCTGTCGTATACCTGTGTAATCGCTTCTGTTCTGTATACAAATGTGTTTATTTGTGTTCTCCCCCCAACCCCCCTTAAGTTAAGCTCCTTGCTTGCTTGCCACAGTTATGGGTTCCGTAGGTGATCTGATCTGTTGTACGCCTGCCTTTTTGAGGGAGAGTTGTTTCATTTAACTAGAAGAAATATTTAGAACTCTACTCTGACTGGTTTCTTGAAACGACTCAGAAAAATATGTCCTGTCAGAATGTACCCCAACGCTTTTCATTGTTCACTGACAAAATAAGGAACTACATTACTACTCCGTAACAGAATTTAGAGGTCCTGTTGCAGTAAAGGGATGCAGGTTTCACATGAGATAGTTGCACGTTGAAGTGGTATAAAATGGAAGAAATGACAAAACAACAAAAAAGGAACTAACGTTTGTATATGGTGTCTGGTTTCCTATGGCTTTTTCTGTTTGGTTATTAGATCAAGTTCTCCAAATCGGGATGTATTATTTTAATGCTACTTAGAACATACAGGTCTCTAAGCATAAACTCATTATGTCATACTCTACTGAAAATATTAAATGCAAGTCATTATTAGAAGTGCATGTTTAGACAAATATCTCCTCTCCCTTTTCACTTCTCACACAGATGATTTACAGCTGTGCTAGGTGTATTATTAGATGCTTTTAGATTCACTTTCAGCTCTTAGGAGATGAATATGGTTTTTGGACAGATTTGAGTGTGGTGGTATTTTGCAATTCTGACTTCATAGGGGCCAAGCCCAGTGTTCCCTGTGCACTCCCACCTGTCTGTATTGTTCTTAGCTACTCAGCATGGCACCTATGCAGTCTAAATAATTAGTTAAGTAACTAGAACAAGCCATTAGGTGCAGTAACAGTTGTGTTCAGCTTTCTTTTTTTCCTTTGTTTAGTATCTTTTCTGAAAGTTGCAAAAAGAATATCCCACCTTGAATCCAGGCCAGTTGGTCTGGATGTTCACTCATAAATTCACTAGTAAAATTAACTGTTTCACTGACAGCAATTGTAATTACATAATGTTGCATGAAACTTCTTACTCATATCCAACACTGATTTTAATTGTGTTCAGATATAGGGAGACATACTGTACAGATTATCAGAGAGAGTTTGTATCAAATAGATCCAGTTAACTCTGTCACTTTTGTTCATTCTAACTGACAGTCTTTGATAAGACTTAAAGATTGTTAGGAGAAAAATATCCAGAGATTATTTTCTGATGTAGATCTTTTTTTATGACAAAAGCAAAAATAAACATCATTAAGCTTTTATGATCTTCTAATAAACTTTTATTCTGGTAAATGCTTTTAATTTATAGTTTTAAGCATGTAGGTTACCTGAGTGTTGTGGATACGAAATAGTACTATGGCATAATTTTATGCACGGAATCCTAAATTAATCACGAGGCACAAAAATGGTCCACCATAAGTTTAATCCAGCTTTTACTTACACACTCACTCACTCACTCACTCACTCTTGCACTGTTTGTTGGTGAATAGTTAATGCTCTTTAGCATTTCTTATGCTTCAAATAAATGATTAATTTTCTTGAATTTCCCAAAAGAGCTGAGACTAAACTTTGTCTGATATCAATTTAAGCAATTCCTGGAAACAAATGTTGGACTGAATAAATGTTTTTTCTATTATAATCATGACTTTATTATTAATAAGTGCCCTGTTAGCTCTGATTAATGTGAAAATCTCTGTTGGAACTCTTCTGTGCCTCTTCAGTAAAAATGTAAGAACTCGGTAATTATTGCATCTTAAAGTACCATGTCCTTTGAGTATACTGCAGCTCAAAGGCCAGCAGCAATAAACAGCTTGTGCATACTTTCTGACCATTTTAGTTAAAACTGTTTAATTAGTAGAACAGAATGATGAACACAGGGATTCATTTTACTGTGGGGAACTTACTGACAAAACATTTAAATCCTTTTTCAATTTGGCAATATCAAAATTTAATAGCATCCCTAATATGGATTAGGAAAATGATAACATCCTCTTTATTTATTGTTCTGATTCTTTCACTTAGGCTCTTCATTCCCTAGTGGTAAACAGGCTTATGAAAGGAGGCTAAAAGAGCTGATTTTGTTTTCCTTTGCAATAGGAAGGCCAAGAGGGAATATAACTCTTCTCTGTAAATAAATTTGGGCTAGAAAGTAACCAGCAGGGTTGGAGGAATATTTGGTGAAAAGGTCAACTACTGATACAAGAACAAACGAGTGAGAAACAACTAAAATAGTTTACTAACTAACTTCCAGTCTGAAGGAGGTATTTGGAACAGCGCTCCAGTAGAAGTAGTGAGAGTAAAAAATGAAGTTAATTTTGAGTTGGAACTTTACATATTTGAGAGGTTTTATGTGCTCTGGTTGCAAATGGTAGGGGAATGGATATCATTAAAAAGGTCACAGTAAAATGAAGACCTGTCTTAATAATTGTATGAAGCTTTTTTTTTTCTCCTTGTATCTTATGCTTTATTAGACGTGCTTCCATTACTGACCATCTGATTCAACCTTTGAAAGAGAAGTTTCTTTTGAATTCTAATTCACAGTCAAGAACTTGTGGTGGTTTTGTTTTTTTGTGTCCTTTTTCTTTTTTTGGTAGCATCTTGCTGAAAGATGACAGATGTCATGATAGTTTTGTTCAGAAATAAGCCTGTCGAATATCCAGAGCATGCTTTATCCAAGGAGACAAAAGGATGGAAGAGAGTCCAGAAAACATTGGAGATAATCCTGTTCTTCAGTCTCTGATAGTAATCTTGCAGGTTCAGCATCAGATCAGCAATATTGACAAACTTAGTCCATATCAAGTCCATGTGACAGAATTACTTTCTCGTCATTGAACTTTTCAAGCACTGAGTGAAATTAAGCTAAAAAACTGATTACCTAGCCATTTATCTGCTAGCATTCCAGTTTCATTCTTCCTTTTGAATTTCTCTCCTTTGGCTTTTTGCAGAAATTCCATATTCCTGAAAGTATAGAAGGTAAGGATAAGAAAAGTGAAGGCTAGGTAACAGCGTCCACTTTGGCTAGGAACAGTATTTCCCTTAATATTTTTCAAAGTAAGTTCATAAATCTGAGAGAAGAAATAAGTTGCATCCTATAACAATATGCAAGTTGAACATATTTGTTAGGATTAATGCTTGTTATGGTGATACTCATATTAATAAATTCATCAGATTAGCATCGTAGGATTACACTTTTGGTGATGTCCAGCATATTGTTTGCGTGTATATGACACTTCTAGAAAGTAGTGTTTTTGTTGTTTAGTAATTATCCAGTTCCAGCTCCTAAAGGTAAAAGCTCTCTAATCTAACATAGACAGCTAGTGCTGGACATTTGAGTGCCTGCTGTACCCGTGGAGGAGGAAGGCGGTGGTGCGGGGAGGAACTCAAATGCTGGAGGAGGTTGTTCATCTAGAGAAGTAGTCTAGACAGTTCATAGATACCTATGTTTTTCTGTAGATAAAATAGCTAAGATTTTATCTATTTAGAATAAATTAATCCTGCTCAAAATGGTTAACTTTGACATTTAATAAATTTGAGGTGGCAAAGCTTGTGTCCAGCTGAACTTTTGGAAGAGCAGCTTAAAACCTGGTAGTCGACATCTGTAATGCTTGTTTTAGCACATGGTGCCTTTCATAATGCTGGTCTCTCACTGGTGCATAAACGTAGTAACTGTCTGTGTAGTTAGGCTTTCAACAGAAAATTTATTTCATCAGCGCTGTCATCTTAATACCCTCTTTTATTTGAGTGTTCTAGAATTCTGTGACTACAGTTGAACATGTAGTACAACTGTAACTGTTTTGTCATTTTGTCTATGCTTCCTTTTATTTGAAATATTTTCCCACAGTTCTTCTACTTGAGTGTTTTGTGTACTAGCTCTTGCAAGAGTTAAGAAACACAGAAAAGTTGTGTGCAAATATCTTAGTTCAGACCCATAGTGGAAGGCTGGCGTGTGTTGTGGGGCAGAGAAATTTGTGGAATGTGGATTTTGGTTTTCAGTGATTTTTTTTTTCTTCCTCCGTCTGTTCGTTCAGATGTCTGTCACAGTAAAGAATGGTTTATATTGAGAGGAGAAAGTACTTCAGCGTGATGTTTTTGCCAGGAAAATTTTATGTATGTGTTGAGTATACATGTTCATAACTGCTGAACTGCAGGGCAGTTTTTTGTGAATTGACATCTTGTGCACTTTAACTACGACTGGGGAATGGGATAAACATGGAAGTACGCTACTAAAGGCTAAAACTATGCCTGTTAATAGAACATATTTTAATGTCAGCACATGACTCACGTGGGATGGGATGCGCATTCACTGTTCCTATTAACAAAATCTATGATTCATATTTGAATGTGCCAATACATTTGCTTTCAGTGCAATAGGCAGTTTAAATAACTTAAATACAGCACTTATCTACCAGCACTGAAAAAGGGGAGATAAGATGTGTTTTACTCACTGTATTGCAGGCTTACTAAAAAGTAGTGAAAAGTAGGCTGACCTTCTTTGCTCTCTCTTTGCCTTAGAAATTAGATGGAAATGTTGAAAGG